ATAAAACAAAGTCAACAAAAACTACAATATTTCTTCCATTCCCATGGACCAACTATCAGAGTTGCCACAAATGTCTATGATGTTTATAGACTACACAACTTCAGAGATGCCAGTCACATCAACTATAATGTGATAGGTAGATATAGATACCATGCTCATATATGTATACGGCATTTTTAATAAAAATATTTTATTACACACACTGTCACAGAAATGAAAATTTACTAGAAATAGAAAAAATACAAAAATCGAAATGTCCACCAAAGGAGGACTGGTCAAATAAATTACAGACCTGTTTATCAAACATGCCTAATGAGAATCACTTGGTCACCTGTACAGACATGTAGGCCCCTGGGAGATTCTAATTCATGAGGTCTAGGATGGGCTGTTTGGAGAGGTCATATTTTTAAACAAGCAATTTTTTAACCCTACAATTTTCACAATCAATATAGTTTGGAAACCCCAAATTATGGTGTTTATATATACAGTAGTATGCCATTCAGACATTCATGTGAAAAAGATGTCCAAAATGAATCTCTAAGTGGCAAAAATGACAAGTTACAAAACACATATAACATTTGGTTCTCTTCATGCAAAATTGTATCGTTATCCACATATGTACATATTTGACCAGAGCACTCATTTTCAACCAGGATAGAGGTACCATGACTATTCAGCATTTTTCTGGGACTAAAATGAGGCCCTAACTTCCCTAAAGATTCTGACATAATCTCTATTCAAAAATCTATGCTCTAGGTTGCTATTACTAATATAAATGTGCCATATCCCTCAGGAACAGATGTCAGATTGAGCACCCTGGTACCAAGAAAAGTCTGAAATGATGGTCATCAAAATGGTAACAGAAATTACTCTAACATTAGGAGTTTAAGTAGTTTTTACCAGCTTTTTTGTAGTGTTCTGAACTATTTTAATTTTTATTTAAATGATCCAATATATTTAGCATTGAGGAGGGGAAAGCTATTAGCATGGGAGAAAGTTAAAACAGTTTTAATCAAGTAACTTTATGATTACTAAATACAGATTTTCTGGAATGGCAAAATTCTTATCAGCTTTAAAAATTCAAATGTAAAAGGAACAGTGGTTGTTCTCAAAGTCAGATCTCCCAGATAATAAGGATAAGAGGGGAAAATGCATTCACGTTTTGCATCAGCCATTACTGTACCCAACTATTTTTATTTAAATGATCCAATATATTTAGCACTGAGGAGGGGAAAGCTATTAGCATGGGAGAAAGTTAAAACAGTTTTAATCAAGTAACTTTATGATTACTAAATACAGATTTTCTGGAATGGCAAAATTCTTATCAGCTTTAAAAATTCAAATGTAAAAGGAACAGTGGTTGTTCTCAAAGGCATGATTCTCTTTAAACAAGGACTTATAGCCTAACAGCCAAGGGAAAATGTGATTATGTAGTATTATGTAATTAAAATACAACTGAAAAGTAAAATAATACAATAAAATTCATCTTTTTCCACCAAGAATTATTTTTTTCAATCACAAAGAAAACAAATTAAGATTTAACTTTGTTCACTTTTTCTCATAATGAGCAACAACGAACAATACAGAATTCATTTAACTCCCTTTCCATATATGTAACAACTTTATCCACTAAAGAAAACATCTCTAAATCCTATTTATGTTCAAAGATTAAGTTGGCAGATCCCTCTTTAAAAGGAACTTGATTCAATCTAAGTGCAAGTAAGAAATAAACAAAATTTAACATCCTAATAAAAATTAGATTCAATTCTAACCATTATAATAAAAACATACATTTACTTACAAGAAAAAGAAAAATGACAATATTTAATTTAAAAAACAAAAAACTATATACAAATATATACAAAAATAGGACTTACCCCATCTAAGAGCGTATTTGATAAATGCATCCGGAGATCTTTACGAAATGGAAATTCCAGATTTGAAACATGGAACACTGAATTGTCTCTATCAATCATAAAAACCTCATTTGTGCCATCAATTAACATCATGTACCTGTAGATGAAACATTATAAAGGTAATATTACAGTATAATATCAAAAATAGGGTCATAAAAAGTAACAGTTAAACTGGTCTTCCTTAGACTTAAGACATCTTTGTGGAGTAACGTTCACTAGAGTCCATCTTTCTATTACACAGATTAAAGTATTAATAGCACAAATAATTTTTTAATTTTTTTTCATTTCCTATAGAAAACACAAGAATATAGGGAAATCTAAGTTTTTTATGGAGACAATGTGAAGTCCAGGAGCAATCTTATGAACCCGTCTTGAGAGAATAGTTCTCTAATTTATATTAGATCTTAAACATCAAGTCTTCCAAAGTGTACTAGACACAAAAACACACATGTATATAATTGCATTTTATTGGCTCAGAAACTATATATATTAGGTATTATTCTCTACACTTTGAAATAGAAAAAAACAGGGAAAAAGTAACTGATTTGCAAATGGCCAGACCTCAAACTATTCAATCCTCCTTCTACCACACCCATCAGTAAAACAGCTAATCCCTGTCTTTGAATCAATATCATGAGGTAGCCAGATATCAAAATCTCAGGTATAATTTTTGTTCTCATTCATGGCTAAAAACTAAAATTTTTAGTTTTTAAACACACCCATAAGAATTTTTATTAGCCCCTATCTTCTTAAACCCAATCAACACATGGGGAAATTTGTACATTTAACAATCTGTCATTCTGCAAATGGTCAAGTTACTATTACAGATTCCCCATCAGCAGATCATCGACAATGGAACTCTATTTCACACCATACATAAAAATAAAGCCCAAAATTAAAGTTGAGGAAATTGCAGATTGGGAGGCAATGCTACCAGATCAATAATGACAAGAACTGGGGTAAAAATGGAGATTATACCAGGTACCAAAATTTTCAAGGAATGAAAGAAAATTGACAGCAAAAAAGAAGGAGTAGGAGGTTTAAAGGTATGAGTCTCAAAGAAACAATCATTTTGTTAGGTTGTTCTGTCTGGTGTTAAATGAAAGAGCGGAAGAATAATGATCTGGATGTACCACTGAAAATGGAAGAGAACACTGATTGAACGATCCAATCTCCTACTCACAAGGTATATAAAGTATATCAGAAAAAAGCAGGAACAACTGAAAGATGGAGCTGAATCAAGCTAAGATCAGGGAACAGAAGAAACAGTTAATGAAGAGATGCAAGCTAATAGAGTATAAGGAAGTTGATATAACAGAGGATAATTGGTTTATGATAAACAAATGTTCTAAAGAGTCAAGTACACATGTTTAGGGCAGGTGGGGAGAAACAGACCTGATTAAGGTAAAAGAAGTATGCAAACAACAGGGGGAAGACCAGCAAAGGAGACCAAAGGGGCTTACATTATAGGACTAGATTATGAAGCATACTGTTACTTGCTGTTTCCAAAATAATTAGGTACAGCAGGCCCCTAGGGAGGAAATGGAGAGCTCAGTACCTTGCTACATATTGAAACGACTGCAGCCCTGATAGATGTGGAATGTGGAGATTCAGGTTTCACTAGGAAAAATAAAATTAGCCTCAGTCTGGACTGACTATACATCTGAAAGACTCCTAGACCAAATACCAGACCAGCAGGCTCAGAGACAACAGGAACACTTAATTTCCAAGGCCCTCTTGCACACGCTTTTCAAAAGCAGCAATTCCTGGTAGACAAAATCTAAGCTTCTTGGAAGAAGTAAGCTGTGGCCAGGAGCGGTGGCTCACGCCTGTAATCCTAGCACTATGGGAGGCTGAGGCGGGAGGATTGCTTGAGCTCAGAAGTTCGAGACCAGCCTGAGCAAGAGTGAGACCCTGTCTCTACCAACAAAGAAAAAAAAAAAATTAGCCAAGCATGGTGGCGTGCACCTGTAGTCCCAGCTACTTGGGAGGCTGAGGAAGGAGGATCACTTGAGCCCAGGAGTTTGAGGTTGCTGTGAGCTAGACTGATGTCACAGCACTCTAGCCCAGGAGTCAGAGCAAGGTGAGACCCTCTCTGCAAAAAAATAAATAAATAAATAAAAACAAGCTTTGTCCTGGATTGTGTTTCAAAAGGAACTTAAGTCAACATAAGGAAAGGTCAAATAAAAAGCAATTATGAATGAAATCCCTATCAAAATACCAATGACATTCTTCATAGAAATAGAAAAGAAAAATCCTAAAATTTATATGCAATCACAAAAGACCTCAAATAGCCAAAGCAACCCTGAGCAAAAAGCTGGAGAGATCACACTGCCTGACTTCAAAATTTACTACAAAGCTACAGTAACCAAATCAGCATGGGACTGCTATAAAAACAGACACATAGACCAACAAAATAGAATAGAACATGCAGATATAAATCCACTCATTTACAGCTAACTTCAACAAAGGCACCAAAAACATACAATGGGGAAAGGACAGTCTCTTCCATCAATGGTACTAGGAAAACTGGATAACCACATGCAAAAGAATGAAACTGGACTCCATTTCTTGTCATATGCAAAAATCAAATCAAAATGAATTAAAGACTTATATCTAAGACCTGAACCTATGAAACCACTAGACGAAAACATTGGGGAAATCCTTGGGGATATTGAGCCAGGAAAATTTTTTTGGGTAAGACTTCAAAAGTACAGGCAACCAAACAAAAAAGCAGACAAATGGGATTACATCAAGCTAAAAAGCTTCTGCACGGCAAAGGAAACAATTAACATAGTAAAAAGACAACCCACAGAATGAGAGAAAAATACATGGAAACTATCCATCTGACAAGGCATTAATAACCAGAATATATAAGGAGTTCAAACAACTCAATTCAATAGCGGGGGAAAAAAAAAAAACAAACCAAAAATCCAATTTAAAAATGGGCAAATGATTTGAAAACACATTCCTCAAAAGAAGACATACAAATGGCCAACAGGTATACGAAAAAATGTTCAACATCACTAAACAAAGACATGCAAATTAAAACTACAATGAGCCCTTTTTTGCACCCTTCCTTCGGCTCTCCCTTTGCTGTGACAATGGGGGTCATCATCTGTGGCGTATATATCATGCTCTATAAACCTATATCTTGCTATTGCCCTATAATCATATCTTCCTCTCCTCAATAAACCTCGTTTTCGTGCTTGCCTTAAAAAAAAAAAAAAACACTACAATGAAATATCATCTTATCCCAGTTAAAATGGTTTCTACCAAAAAGACAAGGAATAACAGATGCTGGTGAGGAGGTGGAGAAAGCGGAACCTTTGCACAGTATTGCTAGCAATGTATGTTAGTATAGCCGCTACAGAGAAGAGTATGGAGGTTCCTTAAAAAACTAAAATTAGATCTACGATGTGATCTGGCAATTCCACTACTGGGTATACATCCAAAAGAAAGGAAATCGATATATGAAACAGATATCTGCACTCCCATATTTACTGCAACACTATTCACAATAGCCAAAATATGGAATCAACCTAAGTGCCCATCAACTGATGAATGGATTTAAAACGTGTGTTGCATATACACGATGGAATATTATTCAGCCATAAAAAAGAATGAATCCTGTCATTTGCAACGACACGGCTGGAACTAGAGGCCATTATGTTAAGTGAAACAAGATAGGCACAGAAAGACAAATGTCACATGTTCTCATTCATATAGGAGAGTTAAAAAAGTAGATCTCATGAAGATAGAGAGTAGACTGGTGGTTACAAGAAGCCAGGAAGAGGAGGGAATAGTTGGGGGGTGGGGGGAGCAATGAAGAGAATTTGATTAATGGGTATAAATATACTGTTAATAAAAGATACAAGGCCTAGCATTCAATAGATCAGTAGGGTGACTATAGTTTATAATAATTTACTATACATTTCAAAATAGCTAGAAGAGAATAATTCAAATGTTTCTAGCATAAAGAAAAGATAAATATTTAAGGTGATAGATATCCAAAGTACACTGATTTCATCTTTTTAAATTATATGACTATATTAAATTATCACATGTACCCTGAAAATATGTACATCTATTATGTATTGATTTAAAACAGCAATTTCAAAAAAAAAAAAAAAAAGGCAATTAGGTCGGGCATGGTGGCTCATGCCTGTAATCCTAGAACGCTGAGAGGATCCTCCAAAGCAGGAGGATTGCTTGAGGTCAGGGGTTCCAGCCCAACCTGAGCAAGAGTGAGACCCCATCTCTACAAAAAATAGAAAAATTAGCTGGGAGTGGTGGCAGGTACCTGTAGCCCCAGCTACTCAAGAGACTGAAGCAGAAAGATAGCTTCAGCCCAGGAGTTTGAGGTTGTAGTGAGCTACAATGATACCACTGCACCTCTAGCTGAGGCAATCAAGCAAGACTGTCTTCAAAAAAAAAGAGGCAATTATGACATCATCTACAGAAACATATGGAAGATACACAATCCATCATGTTTATGGACTCAGGCCAACATTTTGCAAAGCTTGGTGTTCACTAAAGGGTATTTCAAGACAAAATAAGTTAGGGAAACAGATCTTTCTCTTAGAGAATCGAGACATATATTAGGATATTTAAAGTCATGAGAAAAATATAAATAAGTCTGTTTATCTTATTTAGCCCATTGTTTCCTAAATTTCATCCTGACATTTGTTAATATTTGACAGGACTAACATTCTGTATTTACATTTGGGAAAAGCTGACCTATGCTAATAAATTTTAGAATTCAGAAAAAAATGGTTTGCCTCTTCTAATTATATGTGATGATGATGATGATGATGATGATGATGATGATGATGATAGAAATATTTCCCTTTTCACTGGTTGTCCAGAAATTCAGAATTAAATTTAACGTTCAAATAGAATAATTACTAAATCCTAGGATGATGGTATGCTTATTTGAGATAAGATAAATGTGTATCTTATTATCAGATCCTTCTTTTTTTTTTTGAGACAGAGCCTCACCCTATCGCCCGGGCTAGAGTGCCATGGCATCAGCCTAGCTCACAGCAACCTCAAACTCCTGGGCTCAAGTAATCCTCCTGCCTCAGCCTCCCAAGT